CCGGGGGGGGGGCGGGGGGAAGATGGGGCAAAGTATTTTACTGTGGTGTTATTTCAGCCCACAAGCTGGGGAAAAGTCCAAAATATGTACATAATTTATGTGACTCCCAGAACCAACCACATCATGCATGTGAGGCAATTTTTGGGTGCCACTTTGGATGCCACTTCTCTCCCTTTTTTCCTGAGCAGGCAGCAGGCTTTTCACAGGGTGTTGCTACAAGGAGCTGAAAAGTCCTCATGTGGACACAGGATGACACACATCACAATTTGGATAATGGCCAAAAGGGCCGAGAAGATCAGTGCTGATGAATGGAAAATTGTTCTATGCGCACACAAAAGAGAGATGTACTGTTGGTCCATCGCTGAAACTTGTTATGTATGGTCATAGCCAGAACACAAAGGAGCTTTTGCTCAGGGGCGGAGCATGCGCTTGACATGCAGAAGAACCCACATTCTATCTCCAGCATTTCCAGGTGGGCCCAGAAAATCTGCTTGAAACCTGGAGGGTTGCTACCAGGCAGGGTCAACAATAACTGGCCTGGAAGGACCAAATGTCTGAATCATTGTACAGCTGTTTCTGATGTCCCTGTGGTTGGGACCAAGTTTTGAATTCCATACATGGTTGGAGAAAGAAGGGAAGGAAGCACTCACAGGTACAAGATGCATGGAGTAACAGAAAGAAAGTCAGAAGAATTGCTTTAGTTCTTTCATTTAAATACTTCTGATTTATTTTATGTAATACCCTGCTGAATTATTTACATATTTTTCTTATTTTCTTGAAAAATGTTACTTTTTGTACCTTAATGAGTGTTATGCCAATGGCATTCTTGGCTACACGCCCAGTGATCTCATTGCAGATTTTTTGAATGAACTGGTGGGGAATGACGAAAACTAACAAGTCCGCATCCTGCACAGCATCAGTCAGGTTTGGAATAGCAACCTACAGAAAAATATTCAGACAAGAAAGAAGGGGAGGTGAAAAACAAAGAATTTATCTCTCAAGTGCCAAGCCTTAATTTTAAATGGATTCTTCATTTTGTCTGCTGAAATTGTACCTTAATGGTTGAAAACATAAGCCTTCAAACTAAATAAACTAAACATATGTTGAACCAAATATGCCAAAATGCCTTTTTGCATGCTTCTACCAACCAGCTGAAGTGCAAAGTTACTTTATACAGCAAAAAAACTAAGATCAGCATATTCAACTGACAGTAAGAGCAAATTTTAAGTAAAAAGGCAGAAGTAACTTTAGAATGTATTCCTGGCCAATGCAGTTTAGCAAATCAATTTTTGACAGCTCTGCATTATTATTACTGCTGCTGCTGCTGCTACTACTACTAGGATTAATTTCATTTCTATAGCACCTGTTGCTGAAACACTTTGGGCAGTTTATAACAAAGACAGACAAAAATAAAAAGTCACATTTTGTACCTGGGAAATGCAATATTTCTTATGATACAAAAAGGTTACTACTTCCTAAATGGCTATAACAATTCCTGTTTGGGTGGGATGCAGAGGTTCAGACCATTCAAAGGGCTGGACGCTGGCTTTGTCTTCTGCAAGAGCAAGGGCTCCTCTTGAGGAAACATCTAACAAATTTGTGGGGGGGTGGAGGAACTTCCTTCCCTCACATATCACAACTCACCCCATTCAGCACCCTCTGCGTGGCATTTTCAGGGTGCTAGAAGGAACATCATGGGGACAGGGCAGGGAAATCCATTCCCGTCAATGCAGCTGATCCAACATAAATTTGGATCTTACCCAAGGTATGGGGTAACTCCCTCTTTCCCCTCCTGCCCTCCTCCAGGTCCCAGAAAATCAAATGGAAAAAGTGTGGGAGGGGATACAGAGTTGGGGTAATCACATCCTTCCCTTCCATTCATGGAAGCTTCCCATCATCCCGAGTCCTTTCTGCAACGAACATGTTCTTTGATGCACTGAAGGGCAAGTTGCATTCTACTTCTTATGACGAGTGTCCACCAGGCTTTCAAAACTCGACAAACAGCACACATGAATGAAAACTGTGCCTTTGCTTCATCTCTTCCTTTCCCCACAAGCCATTCTAAGAACTAAGGCAAAACCATGATCTGAAGGGGTATGTTAGGTGGATCCAACCTCTCATGCATGACTACCAGCATGGTTCCCTTGTCAGACTGAAGAGCAGATACAAGTTGCTAGATTATAAACTGTATCAGTCCCATTAGCTTCAAAGCTGTTTGCCAGGTGGCAACTGAGTGGAGGTGATGAGTGGCTGGAGACGTACAAGCCCAAAGCCAACTGAGCTTGCTGAATGAGAGGGGCTGTAATGTGGGTCCTGTCCCATTCCAAGCCTTACCACATTCTCTGGTAGCTTGTATCCAGGGAGATATTTCACATTTTCATGGTCATGATTTATGATATCTGTCAATTTTCTTCCATTAATGGTTTCTTCAAAAACCCACATCTTCACTGTTGGGGCAAACGTCTGTAGTGCTTTTACATTATTGCCTATTATTCTAGCTACAGCAGATCCCCTGCAAAGAGAGAAGGAGGGAAGGATTACATTTGGCCAAAGATGCCAGGTTAAGACCAAGGAAGCAAATTTTAGTACACAGGCTATGAATCCATTTACCTTTTAGAAAATCTAAAATCAAGGGATTCCAGTAAAAGGGAAATGCAAGTATGACTGTTCATTTAAGCTGCTTTTTCTTCACCACATGGCATTCAAATTCTGTTAGGATTCAGGCTAGGTTATTTGTGCTTTTGGTCTCTTTCAAATCAATGAAATGGGTTGGCAATGACTATGTTGTCCCACTGTTTCCATCAGGACACGTTTTATTTCAAAATATATACTGTGCTCACCCCAATTCCAGAAACTCAAAGCCACTTCCAATGAAATATACACAGAGTAAAACCAAATCCACAAAGTTCAGTCAGCAATCATGAGAAACTATCCATTCATATTGAGAAAAACCTACAGGATCCATAAACAGAAACTCATAATGCAACCTCCAAAACTCACAAAGGCACAGAGAAAAGAAAAAAATCTTATCATAGTCCTAACAAGGTGAGAAATAATTTTCAGCTGAAGGCCTTCTTAAATGGCCAAGTTTTGGTCAAACACCTATACGAAATCTCCAACTTGGCACCCTCCAGTGCTTAAGACTACAACTTCTAGCATTCTTGAGCATTACCCTCTTTCGGGACTCCTGCCTAGAAATTTTTACATGAGTTGTAGCAAAATTAGAAACAGAAGTAATCCAATAGTCACAACGATGACTTGCATGGATAATCAAACAATGTACTAAAGGTGCACAGAGTGCCAGCATAGCTTCCATTACTATCAACTGCCAAAAATCAAGAAAGCAGTAACAGATAATTCATCAACATTTCACAATGCTGGGGAAGAGATGACATCGTAGGTTATCTACGCTGCATATGCAACCCCCTAAAATAGACCATGGGTTACGTGAGGGTTGTTTAACTCCCCCTCCCCCCATAACCCATGCTCTCTGGGTGCACATGACACAACAACCCCTGAATGGGAGTGGCATATTCATCATGGGGGCCACAGCCACCATTTATACCTTAAATACCTCATTGTGGGCTGCCACGTCATGTGTCAAACTTTGTGTATAAGGGACATGAAAGCTGTTTGTTATATTTTAATTGGGATAGTGCAGTCTCTTGGTTATGAGAAGTGGCCAACAAAACCCAGGCAGGGTAATTATACATTTGTTCATATACTCCTAGGATATAATACAATTATGTTGCCTGGCAGGATAAAAATGTAATCAATGAATGTTTTACTATTTCATTCCCGAGATGTTAGATGGACATTTGTGGTTACTAAGCTGCTCGAGCTGAAGCTGAGTGGTTTCTTGTTTTACAACAGAACAGAAGCAAAACACAAACCTGGAATTCTTTGCTAGATGGACAAGCATGTACAAAAACCAAGGAGGCTTCTATTTAATTTGAAAACCAGTTGGTATTTGATTTTATATAAATAAAGTTACAGACTATATGCAAGCAGGCCAGAGTTTGTTAAAAGTCAAGCAGAATCAACTTGTAATACACAGTGGAGAACATTAGGACTGAGGGCCAAATCCAGCCACCTGCGATCAGAATATGGTCTTCTGGGTTTTCCCAAAATGGTCACATCCCCTTATCTTGCCCTCTGTTTCTCAAGTTCCAGTGACTGGAAGGTTTCCCAGGTTTTCCCCCTCCTCTACTAAAGGTTGAAATGCATCTCCTAAGGCTTAGTTACAGGGAGTAAGCTTTTTAAACTAAAATATGCTGGTATGTTTCGCTCCTGCCCCATTTGGATTCCATTCTGCTCACCTTCCAAATGCATTCCCACCTCCAAGAGCTTGGCCAAAACAGAATTTGGCCCTAAGACTGAAAAGGTCCAATACTACTGCTATAAGGCATTGTTATGTGTCCTTGGGAAAAACCTGGACCCCTATGACTTGGGACAAGAGTGGATGTGATGCCATTCATGCAGTGAGATTTTGTGTGAACCTAGGGTGCCTTTAAGGCATTAAACTAAACAATATGACAGAACAATATGACACCAGCATTTACTAAAATCAGATGGGGCCTTCATATTGCTCAAACATTTCATTGGACCTATCAATGTTCGCAGAGTGCCAGGAGAACTTTCAAGTTGCATCCAGGCAAAAAAGGAAGGTCACTTTGAAGATAGTCAAAGCTGTTGTAGGAGGAGGGCTGAGCTGGCAACTAGTTTGTTTTTAGATTTGCAAAAGGAATTCCTCTATTTATAATCCTGTCCCAACATACTCTTGTTCAGCCTCTGATCTTTTACACATTACTGTTTCCGTCAACAGCAAACTGTAGACAAGGGTTAGTATCTCAGTTTCACTGAAAAATACACTTTTCCCCTTTCAATTCTTTGGGTACACCCAGCAGGGGACAACTCCTATACAATAAGCCTTCTGACTGCATATCTGCATTTTGAATCAATCTTCAAACACAGGGCTGTCCTAATAAAAGCTATTCTGTAAATTTTGCTTTACTAGGCCAGTATGGCAACTGAAGCAATAAACGAAACAGTCAGCATTATGAAATGTTAATTAAATGCTGGGAAACCGTGGAAGGTCTTGCACTGAAGTGGCAGGGAAGTGTGGGAGAAAAGTTATTTAGGGTGCAATCCAATGGGGCGGTCCGTTACTCTCCAAACTTGGAACACTGCAGGCATCACATGCAGCATGGAAAAAGTATGGAAGGGAAGGTCACCTTTGTGCACCTGTCACTCTACAAAGCAGCTAAATGGCTGATTTTGGCCGTTTCCTTGTGACACTTTGGAGGGTGTATTCTGGAAGTTGCAGAAGGTTTTCCTCTCAAAACATGCAATCAGTCTAAGATAGCGATCCTACAGTCCATGGGCAAGTTATCCAGGCACCATTGGATGGCTCTTAGAACTATTCCAACCTTGGAAAAGAGTTGGAGAGCAGACTGCCAACTCCTTCCTCTTGCAGGCAGTACGGAGAGGATCACACCAGTGATCTTGGATGAGGAGGTGTTCCAGTGAGCAGAAAGAAGAAGAAAATGTAGAGTCCAGGATGACAAGTTATACTGAGCATCCTCCAGCCATGCCCCTCCAAAACACCATCACTAGAGCTGCTGAAAAGCCCATCTAGTATAAATCACCCCTTCTCTGGCCCCATCGGGATCAGCCTGGCAAGGTGCAGGAAACCCAAGGCCTCAAAGTTCAAGGTCTCCAGAGTAATGAAGCTGCAACTGATAGATTTTTATGCAAAACATAATCTTGTATTATGAAGAACTATAAAGAAAGTCTCTAAGGAGCCAGAGGATTCCATCTATATTTTTGTCTGTAAAATAATATAAGAAAACCATTTAAAGCCCAATCCTATGCTCCTTTAAGACAGAAAAATCTGCAGTCACTCCCACCATTGCTAGAAGCTGTAGGACATTTTTCCTGCATAGAATTGCACCCTAAATGTACCACACTCTTTCATCAACTCATTAAATGTAGTGTATGTTTTTGTCATTCTACTTTAAAAAGAAAGCATTGAAAATTGTTAAGTTCTCACTGGTATGCTGCCTGAAAAAATAGGGAATCTTGTATTCAGAGGTTTGTAAAACTTTTACAACAGAGAAAAGATTATTGTAATTGTGTTAAAGGTTCTGCTCTCTGTTTCAGAATCATAAAGTAGATAAGACATCCATGCTAAAGAAATGGCCACACCCTTAGAGTCATACATTGCAAAAACCAGATAATGATTACTGATTCATTGAAGCCAACAGTATTGCATTCTTGTACAACCAGTACAGGAACGCAAGGTTGTAAAATAGCAGATCACCTCATCCCCTTTCCACATTCCCTAATGCTGAACGCAGTCTGCTAAGCTTGGAAGCTCTGTCTAAAATGCTGCCAACCACTTGTGCACCAGGTTGCAAAAGTAAGTCCATATTTATGCAAATTTGAACCTGGATTCATGTAAACCCATGTCCTTCAGGCAAGAAAGTCAGTCCTAATCCAGCACAGACAACACATTTAGCCATCTGGATGACCTGCCACTGATAATGCAGAAGGTCTTCCGACTGGCATAAGGTGCAGGTTCGATTAAAAATATCCCATACTGGCATCCACACAGAAGTTTTACAAAGTATCAAGCAGGTGCAGGGATGCACTTTGTTCAACCAAAGCAGGTGGAATAGAACCCAGGAGCATATCAAGTAATGAACAAGGCCATTCTTGCTTTTTCTAAAAGCACTATGAAGACTCCAAAACCACTGTGAAAGATTCTCCACAAAGTTAACACGTATTAAAATCTGGTTTTACTCAGAGATGGGCAACCTGTGGCCCTCCAGATGCTGAACTGACACTCCTATCAGACTGAGCCAGCACAGGTAATGAGTAGGGGTGACAGGAGTTGCAATTCAACGTCTGGAGGGCGCAAGTTGTCCAGCCTTTCAGAAATGGCATACTCCATGGCTCCCACTGCAGTCACATCTTGTTTGAGGGCTGGCAACAAAAGTTTGGTTGGCCGTTGTGGGATCAGAATGCTGCACTAGATAGGCCTTTGGTCTTATCCAACAAGGTTCTTCTTATGCTCTCACGAAAAACAATTAAACCAAAGCCAAGCAACTTTTGCTAAACATGACCAATGGAACCCTCCAGATACAGACAGACACATGAACAAGAACTGTGGGGTACTGTGGAGCCATGTGCTCACCTTTTCCTCAATGTGTAAACTAAGCACATGGACAGGTGGGGGGAATACCTCAGCTGAATCCTGCATGTTTGTTTGCTTAATCAAAGCATTTTTGTCCTAACCTTTAGCTAAAAAGGTGCCCTGGAAAGGGACAATTCCAAAGGAAATAGGAAATAGGATGGAGGAGGGGGAGGAGGAGGAGGAGAAAAAAGCTCAGCCATGGTGGGTACAAAGTCTAGATGCATGTAGTTGCATGGTTTACTGGGAACCTTGGCCACATCACAGTTCTTGATTACAAATGGTGCCATACCTGATTGACTCTGCTCTCACCTTTGGCTAAACAGGCAAAGGTTAATGGACACGTAGTGTTGGAAATGAGACTAGCTGGCACAGCATCACCCTCTCCACACTTGTTCAACCTATACATGAAAGACAACAGGAAAACAGGGCCAGGTCCCCAGTCCTAAGTCCATATATCACAAACAGAGTGTGTGCTCGGAGCCCATTCATCACTGCAGCCAAACACGGAGTGACTGGGACCAGAATCAGCTGGTGAGATGCTCCAATTGCATTCAGTGCATACTTGAAGATTATGGATAGGGTGCCTTAAAAGGAAGGGCACAATCAATCCTATGCATGTTTAGACAGAAAAAAACTCCCCAACTGCCAGCATGGCCCTAACCAGTACAGCTTTTTTCCTATAAGAACTAAATTGTGAAATAGAAATGAATGAAAATTAATTTTTGTACAAAGAAAAAATATATTTTGTGCATTTGTTTTGTTAAAATTAAAATATAAAAATGACTTAAATATCTTTAAAACAGACAGTCCCTTCTTCCACTTTCTACCTCACATTAGCAGTTCAAAGCTCAATCCTATACATGTTTAGACTGAAAAAAGGCCTCTAATTTCTAGCACACCCCAACCAGCATAGTTTTTTTTCCAGTCTAATCGTACACCCAATTAAGGGGTTGTTTTAAAGAGTTTTAAGCCAAATGATGTATTTTACTTCTAATAAAATAAAGCATAAAATAAAAACCAATAAATAAAACTTTTTATTTTATACCTCAGTTCCCTTTCACCCATTTAGATTTCACAATTCAAAATTACAGAGACAGGCAACACAGGATTGAGTTTAAGTTGTTCTTCATGGGAAAAGACTGTGGGAAGTATAAGTAGTATTATACAACAAACTTGCCTTGTTTGTAACTGGAGTATCTAACAAGTTAGGAACACAAACAGTAAGAACGTGATCATGCCACAGAAGGTGAGGCATGCATAAGACTGAGTAGTCAGTCTATCTGTCAAAGATAGATCTGGCACTGCATTCATCTCGCTGTACAGCATTCCAGAGCTTATTCGTCCAGCAGCTCTTTGGCACTAAACTGAATGTACGGGATACCACAGTGCAAAGGAAGCAAGACCCAGAACGAGGTCCAAATACATACCTGGTCCACTGGTGACCTTGGGCCAGGCATTCTTTTATTATTGCATTTCATTTATACCCCACCTTTCTTCCTCTTAAAAGGAACCCAAGATGACTTACCAGGTTCCCCTCCTCTCCATTTTGTTCTCACAGCAACCCTGCGAGGTAGGTTAAGTTGAGAGTGAGTGACTGGCCCAAAGTCACCCAGTGAGCTCCATGGTCAAGGGGGAATTAGAACCCCGTTCTCCCAAGTCCCCAGTCCAACGCTCTAAGCACTGTACCACACTGCCTCTAAAACTGACCTACTTCACAAAGTTATTGCAAAGGTTAAAAGTGGGGGGCTATAAATATAATGAAGAATTGTGCTGTTTCTGCAAGGGGTTAGATGAGCTTTGCATTGGCTTTGCATTTGCTCCACCCGTGCCAATTTGGCGAGCCTTTCTAACTCTCCATGCACAGTATCTTGCCCTGCAAATGTTCCCAGACTGTAACTCCCATCACCCCCCACCAATGGCTAAGCTCGCTAGGACTGATAGGAACTACACTCCAGCAGCATCTGGAAAGCCACAAATTGCTCACCTATCCGCCTCATAAACAGTCCTCTTCATTTACAATACTCATTTAATGTTGGCATCAGGTTTAAACCATCAGAAGGGAGAAGTATAATTATAATCATCATCATAGAGCAGATGCTTCAGACAGGTGACGCAGTCCTAAAAAACTAACCCGAGAGGGACAACCATGTTTCCTTTTTATTTACAAATGTGCACGACTCGGCTGAGAAAACAGGTTTGCAGAAGGCGAGGCGTGTATAACGGCTCTACCGTCCAACAAGGAAGAAGAGACTGCCTGTCCGCGCTGCCTTCCGTCTGGAGCGTCCCTTTTTATTTAGATAAAAAACCACCATTGCAAGGGGGTTAAAAGGGGATGGGATAGCGCTGGAAGCAGAAACGTCGGGTCCTGCCTGCTGGATCCAGACCTCAAAGCAACAGCATGACAAGGAAGCGCAGGTTGCTCCCGAACGCGCCCGTAAGCCCCGGCACTGACTGCCCCTCGCCTCTCCCTCACTCACCAGTTCCCAGAGCCCACGATGCACACTTTCAAGGGCGATGACGCAAGCGCCATTGCAAGCCGGCACCCCGCGGTCTAGCTCGCCGAAAGAAAAGCCCGAGGCAGCCCGCACTCCCAGCGCTTCCAATGGCGCTCAAGGAATCCTCCTCGGCCATGTAAAACCGAACCAGGCGGTGCGACCCCGCCTCCCGGCGCAGCCGGGGCATGCTGGGAATTGTAGTCCTCTTGCGACTTCGGCAGAGCCCCTAATCCTGCATTGTGGATAGGGATTTGCTGGGGCGGGAGTTAAAGAAGAGCTAAAATAAATCAGGGGTTACGGTCCTGTTAAATTGGCAACGTGGGTATACAACACTGGATCCCTGTGCGGCGCTATTTTGTCAGGGTGACGAACCTCACCATTCTAGCCGCGTCGTCTCAGCAGCAGGTTCTCATTGAATTCAGTGCGACTTACTTTGGAGCATGGGTCCTCAAACTATGGCCAGCAGGCGTATACGGCCCGCCGCAGAAGTTTTGGACTCACTCGGAGAAAACGATTTCCAAGCGAGTCCAAAAGCTCTGAGCTAGCGCAGGCGTTCTTTGTAACTGAACAGAGAGCCCTCGCCACCCCTCCATTGCATGTATATTCAGAGCGGGAATACGGAGCGGGAAATAGAAGAGAGGCAGGTGGAAGAGAAGGGGAGACGAAGACGAAGAAACTGAAAAAAGGTTTGAAAGTAAGAAAAACATAACTTTTTAAATCTTTTTAAATCTTTAATGATGCGAGCGTGGGGGGGGGGGAGGCTGAGTGGCCTTCTCCGAGGGAGTAAGCCAGGTGAAATACTTAGTATAGACCCCAGCTCTTGGATTATACTTTATTTAATGTTCTCTCTTTTGTTCTTTATCCACCGAGTATGAGAAAATAAAAAAAATCAATTGCCCTATTTCACAAACATTAAAGTATTTAAGTATTTCTATACCAGAGCGCTTGGTATGGTGTGGAACAGTTAAACTGCGTAGCAAGCATAACTAAATACAGTGGTACCTTGGCCCACAAAATTAATCCATTCCATGACCCAGATTGGTTGCAACCAGAGTCAAATTTCCCCATAAGGTTCAATGTAAATAAGGTCAATCCATTCTGTAAATATTTTTTTTTTAATCACAGGGAAATCGGGCAAGATGTCAGGCGCACTGTGGGGGCAGATGGGCGCGATGGTGGGAGCACTCGGAGTGGGGGATGGGTGCGACTGTCACCCAACGCGGAGTTTGCAACCTGAGGAAAAACTGTTCTGAAATTTCTGTTTGAGACCCGATTTGGTCATGAACTGAGGTGCTCATGAGCTGAGGTACCACTGTAATTGTAATGACTATAAAGAAAAGAAATGAGTAGGGGGCACAGAGCAGGGGTTGTGGAGACCATGGAGCCAAGATCTGCTTTTTTCATTTTATCCTATGGACAAGATAGAGACATAGTGTTATAGAAACAAAGAAGAGCGGCACAAATCTTGGGATCTGAAGAAACTGAAAGAAATGCTGAGCCTGAAAAGTCCACAACATTTTATGCTCAAGGAAAACAGGTATATGAACAAGTCAAAGCAAACAGCTAGATTCATCTTCCGCGAAGGATGGGCTAAATGATGAATTATGTTTTCTGTATTCCTACCTGTTTCTTATTTACTGTGGCAAAGAAGAAAGAAAGAACAGATTGGCAGAAGGGGCAGAAAGTGTATACCCTGGGGTGGTAAAGTTGCTTCCAAGAACCAGTTTGTAGTCCAAATTGTGTTGTGGGGAACAAATTATGCAGCTGGAATAAATTATTTAATATATTAATATTATTACATTACATAATATTATATATATTATTACATATATATATATAAAACCAAGATTGCATATATGTGGCACTCCAGTACTTGAGATAAGTCACAGCGTATGGGACTATACTATAACCCAATTTGCATTTATTTATGATTTACTCAGCTTCCCAGCTAATAATGGTTGTTGTTGGTGTTATTCACAGTGATTCAAGGTTGCAGTGCTCAAACGGTTTGGTAAGATTTGGCAAGGTGGTGCAGGGACTGCAGGTGGTGCAATGGTTTAAACCGCTGTGCTGCTGGGCTGGTTGATCAAAAGGTCGCCGGTTTGAATCTGCACAACAGGTTGAGCTCCTGTACTCTGTCCCAGCTCCTGCCAGCCTTGCAGTTTGAAAGAATGCAAATGCAAGTAGATAAAAAGGTACCACTTAACAGCGTTCCGTGCACTTTGGTGTTTAGTCACGCCGGCCACATGACCACGGAGACTGTCTGCGGACAAACGCTGGCTCCCTCTGCTAGGAAACGAAGATGAGCACCGCTCCCTAGAGTCAGGCATGACTGGACTTAATGTCAAAGGGAAACCTTTACCTTTACCTTTTTTAACCTGAGAGAACGGGGGGCTAGGGGGAAAGAAGCAGGGGAGTGGAGGGTAACAAAAGTAGCCATGAAAGGGTATAATACTGTACTGTAGTCCAATATCCAAGAGCATTTCTATCATCTTTCCTCAGGTATCAGTGAATGGATTTTTCTGTTATACTGAAGTGTCATGAAGGGGGACGGAGAGGGCCCCACAACATGAATGAAAGAGAGGGTAACCCTTCCCCTCCCAACTGTGATCTGGCTGGAAATCCCTCCCTCTCCCTGAGTGGCACTGAAATCTAGGGTTGGCACCAAAGGGTTATTTTTTTCCTAAGTTTAATTGCCAAACAAAGGTTTTCGGAGAGGAGTTCAATCTCTGCGAAACCCTTCTGTTAGCGGGTCTGGCAGAAGGGAAGCATCAAACCCTTCTGCTCCATTACTTCCATCAGTCCAAAGGCTTTGGAATAAAGTAAGATCCTGGGCTTTCCTAGTGACATGCACCAAAACTATCTTCAACCACAAAACGGATTTTCTGTGCCATAAGCGATAGCTTGCTCAGTTGTGTCTTCTCTTCCCAAGGAAATCACTTCTGCTTCCAGGAAGTCCTGGATCAGCAGCCCATGGTAAGCCCAGAAATAAAATGGTTGCCCAGAAGCAAAGGCATCAGCCAAGAATGTGTGTGATCTTTCTACCTGTTCAGCTTGTATGCAGAACATATCATCAGGAAAGAGACACTAGAATCAGAGGAAGAAGTGAAAATTGGTGGACGAAACATCACTAATTTAAGATATGCAGATGGTGCCATACTCCTGAAGAAAGCAACGATGACTTGAATCAATGTCTGATAAAAGTAAAAGAAGAAAGTACAAAAGCAGGACTGCACCAGAATAGCAGGAAAATCATGAAATCATGTCTGCAAAGGAACTACAGGACTTCACTGTTCATACTGAAAAAACTGAAATTGAGGAACATTTCACATAGCTCAGCTCAGTCAGAAGTTTGAAGGGAAACAGCAGCCAAGACATTGGAAGAAGACTGGGAAGGGCAGCAGTGAAAGAACTAGAAGTGTAAGGATGTTTTCCTCGAGACTGAGGTCAAGATCATCCCAGCTGTTGTATGCTCAGTCACAATCTATGGGTATGATAGCTGGCCAATGAAGAAAACTGACAGGGAAAAGAACGATGCATTCAAGACTTGGCGCTGGAGGAGAGCTTTGGGAATACCCTGCACTGACCGAAAGAAAAATGGGTCTAGATCAAATCAAGCCTGAGCTTTCCATAGAAGCAAAAATGACTAAACTGAGGCTTCGTAGTTCAGACACATCATGAGGTGGCCAGACTCACTGGAGAAGATAGTTATGTTAGGGAAAGTTGAAGGCAGGAAATGAAATGGAAGACCAAGTGCGACATGGATTGAATCCATAAAGGAAGTCATGGGAGAACTGAATGGACTTGGAAGAGCTGAATGGAACTCTTGGAATTGAACTTGGAAAAACTGAATGGAGCTATCATGGACAGGATATTTTGAAGGGTTTTCATTCATAAGGTCACCATAGGTCAAAGATGACTTGATGGCACATAACAACAAAAACAAGTATTTGACTCGATGCCCCAGGCAAGAGCAGAGCATGTCTCCCCCAAGTGATGTCCTCCTTTGTGCTCCCTATTTGTCTTTCCACACAGCCTGGATTTTCTCCACCATCATCACAGTTTCTGTGTGTCCTCCCGCTTTTCCCTCTGCTCTCTTTCATTCCTGCCCTGCTTCAGTTGTTACTCATTTTGGCCAGGATAGCAAACTGCAAGCAAGACAAAGTGTGTGACATTCCTGGCTTGAGGCATCTCCCTCCCCACATGTCCTTTCCCTGCCAGTTGGGCTGGCCTGAGGACCTGTGGGGCTTGCAGAAACCAGCCATGAGGCCGGGGTACCTGGTAAGAGGCGGCCAGACTTGCTTCACACCTTCCCTCCACAGTTGAAATCCCCCTGTGAAATTGCTCCCTTGCATAGCAATTAAACTATTTAGGCCTTTGTGGGGAAATAGGTGGGGTGGGGGGACCATGGGCCTAAGCCTGATAGCCCTGAAAAACCCTCTCAACTCTGCTCTGTTTTCTGCACCTTCACCAGTCATTGCCTCTATACTGGCAATTTCCCACCTCCCCCATAACAATGAATGCTAGAACTTTGGCTTTTTTGCAACAAGTGGGAGGAGGAAACTATAGGCAAGAGTTGCAGATGCACATCAAGAGCAAATGCACTATCCTAGTTCTCATTTATAGCCTGCTGAAATAATGTGGTGTAATGTGACGTAATCGGTGACAGCAATATATGGCACTATAATCATTTTAGTTATCAACAGAATACGTGTGACTAGAAACCAAGAGTTCATTTCTGCTTCCCTTTCATTCTTACCTATTCCCAATTGGTTGCAGATTCTAAGCACCTGGGCAAACAAGATCACTTCCTGGTGCAGGTATGTAAATTAACTGATATTTCCAGAGTTTATCCAGTTTTTAACTTGAAGTCTGCTGAGTATAATCTAACGTTTCACAAAAGGTTACAGTCAGAAGGGGCCAGTACTGGCCCAAAATAAGATTGAAATATATATCCATGCCCTAGGGTCCAAGAAGCACACAACTTTGACTTGCCATGGTATTTCGGACCAGCACAGTGAATATATTTCAGCACATTAGCCAATATTTCTGTGTCTCTAACACTTGTGAGAATATTTTTGTATACCCGCAAATTAAGGTTCTGTTGAATGACAGGACAAAAATGGAGGGTGGGAA